GGACATTTTTATGACTTTTTTTTCTTTAATTCTTTGTCTCACCATTAACACTACCTTATTAATTTAGGGTCAGTTTCGGAGATACATTTCATTCCTGTGATTGGAACTAGTTCTATTTCTTTATGACCTTGTGATCTTTTGTTGAGATTGGTGAATTTAAGAAAACAGCCTCGGGGTTCAGGATTATGAACTTGTTTGTACAGGAGAACACAAATAACCAATTTGTAATGTCTGAATTTTTGTAATTTCCTAGTTTATGAAAGTATAGTTACTTCTTTAGAGCCCATGATGCCTTCCTCTGTTGTCCTCAGCTCTGGAGTCTCTCCAGTGTGTAAACAAAAGCTCACCTGTTGTCTGAGCAGCCATCATAGTGCATCCAGAGGGTGCCCTCATTCCCTCTGCTTCCATGTCTTTCATGACAGAAATAAGCCCCTCAGGCACCTGCAAAGAACCCAGATCACTGAACATAGAGGTCACTCCTGTGTTTGTCTCCTGATGAGAGGTAACTGTTTTCACACAGTGTTGGCAAGGAGTGTCAGGAACAGTGAGTAACTGTTGTGGGCCAGTGTCACAAACTTTGTCTCTTTGATGTTTCTCTTCTTTTCTACTTGCCTGCTTGGGCTGGTTTCTCCTAATTGCCTTCTGGAGCACTCACAAAGTAATTTAGTCCATTTTTGTCTCCGTGGGGGAGCCACCGTCCTGATGCTCCCTCTTTCTTCACTGCTGATATCCTGTGATGGGTATTAATTTTGCATATTAGCATTTAACATATATGCATGTGAGGATAGTAAGTGAGAGAACTGATCGTGTATCTTTTACTCGTGTCTTTCCATAACACCATAGGCCTATTGGCAAAGTCAGGTAAAGAATATTCTTTTTAAAGAGTGATGTAGGAACCAATGGAAGCTGTGGCTCTTAGTATTTACCCTCAGTGATGACTTGGATGAAGATGGAGGGTAGAGAAGGGCAGAAATGAGGTTACGATGGATATCGCCAAAGCGGGACAATTGCCCTTAATGGAACCCGTACTGCCAGAAGAGATCGAGGGTATAAAATACTTGGGGGGAAAACCCCACCTTAAGTCAGTTATATTTGAACCCAAAGACCAAAATCCATTTTTGTAAATTTTTAAAAATATTTTACTCATTTTTGAGAGATAGAGTGCAAGCAGGGGAGAAGTAGAGACAGAGAGATGGAGACACATAATCAGTAGCAGGCTCAAGGCTCTGAGCTGTCAGCACAGAGCCTGATATGGGGCTTGAACTCATGAAGCATGAGCTAGTGACGTGGGTTGAGGTCAGATATCCAACCTACTGAGCGATCCAGGTGCCCCTCCAAAATTCATTTTTAATCCTACATGATCTCTGGAAGGACTTTTGGAAATTCTGGAAAATAAACCAATGCATGCCAAAACTACTCATTGGAATTATTTTAGATATAAGATTGGACTAATCATTCAGTGATTCACTGAAATACTTCTAAATTTCGACATTGAAAAAGGAAGATAAAAACTCGAAATGTGATTGTGTTGAGATGTCTTTTCAGAGGGTTCATTATTCTTCCACCAGGTATAATCCCTCTTTTTCCAAAGTCTCTAAATTTGATAAAAACCAGACAGTCTGTATGCAAACATCACTGTTCAATGTTATCACATAGTACCTAATATGGAACTAGTTTTTATGTGTGGTGAACTTCAGAAGGCCTTTAATGAGAACTCTATCTTCCATAATTACCAAGGTGTTTAGTATGGAATTACAACTTACCAATGTAAAGAATCTGGGAAGAAACATGAAGCAAGGGTCAAATCATCAATTTCAGAGAACTCCGTTTCCAGATATCCAGTATAAAAGTAATAAATGTGGGAATGTGTCTTATGAAACCTCAAATCCTATTGTACATCACTGTATCCTTACTGGAGAGAAGACTTAAAATGCAGCAACTCTAGTAAAGCTTTTAATTAGTCTTCGAAACTTGCTCAACAGCAGAGATTTCATAATGGGAAGAAACCTTACAAATATAACAATATGGCAAAGGTTTTCAGTACCACTGAAAACTTGTCAACATGAGGTGTGATATATACTGGGGAGAAGGCTGAAAAATGTTTTGGCAAAGGCTTTAGGCAGAACTTCAAACTTTGTGACCATCAGAGAGTGCATACTGAAAGAAATATTACCAATGTAAAAAAATTTGACAAAGCATTTAATCGTCATCAAAACCTTCAACATGAGATCGTCCTGAGGAGATACTTTACAGATGTCAAGAATGTTGACAACGTCTATGTAGAACTGAATTTATAAAACATCAGAAAAACTACACTGGATATAAACCCGAGAAATGTAATGAGTGATGAAAAATGTTTGCTTTCCATATATATTAAAAAAATTTCTTTATAAAGATAAAAAAAAATTACAGTTGTGAACAATTGGCAAGCTATGTAATGGAATGTGAAATCTAAATAAACTGAGAGAATTCTCAGCAGAAAGAAGTCAATACCACTTTTGAGACATGATTCTAAATCAGAGTATTTATTATAGAGAAAAATCCAAAATTAAAACACTCAGGTCGCTTATTTAGCCTTGAACAATGGAGGTGCTATGGGGTGCCAACCCCTCCACAAGTGAACATCTGCTTGTAACTTGTGAGCCCCCAAATTTAAAAACATAGGTACTTTCCCATGGAAATAGCCTATTGTTGACCAGAAGCCTCATCTAGAACATAGTCAATACCCCATTATTAATATGTGGTCTGTATTATAGGCAGTATTTTTATAATAAAGCAAGCATGAGGAAAGAACATTAAGGAAATCATAATGAAGAGAAAACACATTTACAGTATATATATAAATTTGTGTATAAGTGGACCCACACTATTAAAACCCATGTTCTTCAATGGTCAACTGTGTTTGTTAATATGCGTGAAAGAATCAAGGGAAGATGGATGTCTGTCTGGAGAGGAATAATTTTACTGTCTCCTTTTTCTTTTGACCATGATTGTGATTTGGGGGGGGGGGGG